TACTGCCAGGTGTGGAGGGTATGGAGGTACGGCCCGTCTGCTAACCCTTCTCCCGTGTACCACCCCACCTCTGCTCACTCCGTCACAGTGTACAGCACAGCTGTCGTCACCCTTCCAGCTAGAATGTGGAAGACAAGGACTTTCCAGGGAGCCCTCCTTTTATGCCATAGCCTCAGTACAGTCTGGTTCTAGTCACAATCAAGCAGACTCTGCTTGTGATACATGGGATCCTGAAACATCTAGGAAGGACATGAGTAGACCGAGTTGCAGTTCGATGCTTCATGACTTGAAAGGACAAAACTCAAGTTATGTAGTGTCTGGGCCTTCAAAGCAGACTAGTTACTTGAATTACAATGATGAGTGTGAGTGTGAGTCAGATGCCAGATTTAAGAATGGTGAGTTAATAATTAATGCAGCTAATGCAGCAGGGACAATGGAGGCATTGGAAGACATGGCCAATCCCCAGATGTTAACAGCAGTGCCACAGACAGAATATATAGTGGTGGATGTACCATTACAGATGGGCATGGGCAGCCCATACTCATCATCTTTTTTCATCCTTATTGACCGCTGACACAAAGGGGCAGTCTCATGGTTACTTGTCCATCATTGCAAATACAGAGTTGTGAGTATAGTTAAACTTCCTTTTGGAGTTTAGATACTTGATAGTCCCCCTTCCCTCCCCCTAGCAGGGTTGCATTTTCCTTGATGTACTATGAAATCAGAATTTACCCATACTGTAAACCCTGACAAGGCTCAAAACGGCTGACCATGTCACAGAAGTGTATGGCACACCTCATGGGCACCTCTTTTGTTTCAAGGTCAGTTATTGAAGACTGTTCAAACATTATGACATCTAAGATATTTTTGCAGCAGCCTGGTTCAATTGTTAATATGCACTTGAATTTAGCTATAGAAAATGCCACTGTAGATTAGCTTCCAGTAGTACTGTAGAGTGAAGATCTCCACATTAAAAAGTACGAAATAGTTTTATGTAGAGAGCTAATTGCATTGGAAAATCATTTTAGGAATGGGATAGTTTTATCAACCATTGTTGTATGATTCTTAATGTTTGTTTCTTCTAAGAAGAGTTGTTCCATACCTCAAAACTCTGTGAGCATTTTCAGGGTTGATTTCATATTCTGCAACTTTATTTTCCTTGGAAAATGTGATCAGAAGTTTTGTTGTCTGTCATTCATTTCTCTTTTATGTAAGTGAAATGAATGATGACATTATACATATACTGTGATGAGAAATTGAAATATGTCTTACATGTAGAACTCATATCTATTTTCTTTGATGTGCAGTGTAATCATTTTATTTAGAGATTCATGACATATTGGTGTTAGTAATTTTAGAAATATTGAACAACTTTTCTTCAAAGATAAGAAGGGAGTCTTGAGTTTTTAGCTCATTGAAAATACAAGTACCAGAATAGCAATTTTCTATAGCTATCTTATCTAAGTAACATGACACTGGGTAAAGTGATTTTTAGAAGTGTAATATCTATATACTTTTCAAAGATAACATTTATCTTTCTTGGTCTCTTAGAATTCTTATTTTTTAGTATAAAAAAAGAAATATGATTTCATACTGAGTATTACTAACTGCCATATAAATAATACTATGACCAATGCTATACTGTAGGTCTTAAACGCATTCTCTGTTATAATGGGACTTGTAGTAGCGTGTGCCCTACAAATCATAGATGAGATTGAGCAGCATTAGTGCTACTACAGGGGATATAAAGTTAAACAGATGTATATTGCTGACAGAGACAGTGAATGGGTTAAAATTCTTTTGTTACCTCATATTTATTTAGGGGAACTCCATAGAGAAGTTCCCTCTTTCTTCAGGCTTCTATAATTTACAGGCAATTATTCATAGCTATATAGACCAAAGTTCTCAAGCACACTGATTAGTAATATGTATAATAACTTGCATATTTTATGGGGTTATCATACAGGCCTAATATCCTAGTAACTGGAGACTTCGATGTCCATGAAGGAGCACAGGTTATGGAAGGTGCCATCTCAAGGCAACTGTTTCCTTGTGCTCATAAATCTGCACGGACCTGAAATGTACAATAAAAATATTGAAAGGTGAAAGTTGGCACGCTTAACCATGACAGCATTTATGGCTTTTGCACCAGCATCACAGTTCCATTAATCATTCATCTCAATATTCTTCACTTGCTTAAATAGATTTTCAAAACATGTGTTTTTATTTCTAATGTAAGAATATGATTTTACAAATTAAAATGTCATTCAAAGGACAACATGTCCAAATATTTATAATATAGATAGTATTTGTTAGATAATGCCAATCTCAGGTGTATATACAAGGTTGGTAAAATCCAGAAAGAACTTAGAAAAATGGATTGTTGCCATTCTTTGTTGACACCAAAAACGAGAGTAACAAAATTCCAAAATAGTCTATTCAAAGTGTTCATATTCGAGGATTATAATCCCTGTGTGATAACCACTTAAGTAAAGAAGTGTCCAATATCTTCTGCCTTGAAATGAAAGTAAAACCTCACAGCACATATGCATCTTACGCACACACACAAACTACATCCACATAGCTTACACTCATGCATTACACAAATGCTTCACATATATACTATATGTGTATGTACATACATATGTACTTCTGTACGTATTTACATACATGCAGTCAGATATACACGTCTACATACACATTTGCACACTCATACACATGCACATCTGCATACACATATATTTACACATGTACACATGCATACATATTCACATACTCATATGCTTACACATTTGTATACATAGTGCCATGCACATATGCATACACATATTCATACATATACAGATAATCATAGACATATTCATACTCATACAAATATACATACATATATATACCTATAGCCATAGACAACCCCAAACCCATAACCATACTATACCATATACCCATACCTATACCCATACCCATATGCAAACCTATATACATATGCATAAACACAAGCATGCACATACACGTTTAATGACTTCACTACTTTTATTTGTCTATATTTTCTATTCAGCATAATCTAGCACTCTCTGGCCATGTAAATTTTTAATTCACACTTTTGAAAGTGAATGAAAATATGTCTAGAGTGCAGTCAATCAGAAATGGGAATTCAAACTTTGATTCAATAGATGAGTGTTTAGGTTATTTAATGTTCAGGTCACTGAATAGCCAGTTAGTGCTCTTTGAGTCTGTGTGGTGCCGAGTCCTAGATTACCAGTAGCAAAGTGCCAATAGATTAGTTACTGTAGATTATTATTTATTATTGGTGTTATTGTTATTATCATTATTGGTATTATTATTATTTTGTTTATTTGTATTTCAATGCAATTTCCCTTTTGTGTTCTATTTTTTATTATTCATCTTAATCATACATTCAGTGGCCCTGTTAGCCATGTCATAGAGCTCGTAATCTGTATCAGCCCAGTCATAGTCAATAGATTTGGGTATGTTTATAGGTAGGAAGGAAAATAAAATAGCTGGCACCTTTGGGATTTCATGAATGTCCAGAGTTCCTTTTTCATAGGTGAATTCTGGTATAGTTCCCCATAGACAGATGAGCGTGTAGTTTTTATCTGTGGCAAAACATCACTTAGAATCTCTTTGAAGTTGAGCTCAGAATAGAAGAGATAATGCTGTCTGACATCTCCACTGCCATAACCAAATATGTACTTGCGAGTCAGTCAAGATGACCATCTTTTCGGTGACATTGAAGAAGAAATTGTGTTTTTGTATTTAAAAAATAAGGACTGGCACTTGTCATTTTATAATGCTTGTCTGGCCATGTGTTTGCATGTTATGTGCTGGTGCTGTAGTCTCTTTCCTTGCAGGCTATGGCATGTAGCAAAGGAAAATTAATAAAGGAATGGTTAGGTTTACTAAAAAAGATATTCAGTATTTTTGTAGAATATATAAAAGGAAAAAAAAAATAACACACACAGTAAGTAAACAACAATTCCAAAACCTGGAGACAGTTGAGATTAATGAATATTTCAAGTTAAAGATTTCTTGCCACTTTTTACAGCTTGTTTTACATGTTTTAAGTAGCTTATCAGGTCCCTTCTGTAGTGATTTTGAAGAGCATATTTTAGAATAGTACATGTATACTAGAAACCTTATGTAATTCTTTTCCATAATCAAAGGATTTTTTTTTTTTTTTTTTTTTTTTTTTTTTGGGTTTGTACATAGATTTGAATATGGATGTAGAACTGAGTGGCTCTTGAGTTGCACATATCCACTGCATAATAAGTACTTTTGCCTTCATTATTTTTAAATGTCTAATTTGGTATTTCTTATTACTTTTTTTTTTTTTTTTTTTTTTTTTTTTTTTTTTTTTTTTAAATCTTTTTTGCTCATGTAACTTCCATTTTATCTGATGCATATGTTTTACGTGTGACTTACTTTACTAAAGTACTACACTATGAGAAAGTAATATGTAAAGGAGGAACTTTAATTGCTGCCATTGGTAGAGCCACGATGTGTTGATAATGGATTCTGTTATTATTATAATCATTATTTTTAGTTGCCTTAAAAAACAAAAATAAAAAAAAACGTGCATGATTTTAAACCAGGCTGATCGTATCCATGATAATTCCAAAGTTGTTCATAATGGAGATTTAGATGATTAAGTAGTTTCCCTTCGGTAGATGATGTATATAATTGTTTTGTAAATAGATTTCTTTTTATTGGAAAGAATACATACATCCTGTTTTAAAGTTGAAGAAGTATAGTATAGAAGACTTAAGTGGGCACATAGTATTAATGTCAGAAGTTAATGTAGCACAGTTTACTTAATCAGTAGATATTGTCTTTGAAGTTGGTAGTGCATAATACAAAAGAACACTTTTTCTTGTATATATGAAGTTCATTTTTAATGAATAGTAATTGTAATGGTTTATATAAGAGACATACAAATGAATAATAAGGGTCAGCAGTTCATACTTTGTTATTGATTTTTTTTT